TTTTCTTGTATTCCGACAATATCGAGTTTATTCAGGAAATCACGGTTCCATAACTCTATAATTTTATGTAATAAAGTGACAATTGGACAATAAAACAACAATAAATATAAAACTAGTGGACTGTATGACAACGTGCCTTAAGGCAAATTGCTGGATCTTCTCGTAGATTGTTATAAATAAATACTGTAACATTGTCTAATATTTATAAGAATTATATAAACCGAATTGCAAAGTTGAAAATATTTGTTTAAAGTATATTAGAACTAAAGTCAAAATTACAATTAAAAATTGTATTATTTTCTATATTTTTTCTAAAAGTATTTTTTGAAAAAAAATGAAACAAACATTTCTTTTTCTAAAAGCAATTATTTTGTTAAACAAGTAGAAAGTTTTTTGAATCTTTTCAATCGGACGTTTAGTTCACTCAAAAACTGCCATTTTTTGCACATTTTTCTTTGTATCTCCGAAACCGCTAGACCTGCCTTTGCCAAAAATTAATCATTACTTCTCCCCGTCAATACGAATTGAATGTTTTGGATCATTCAAATCGGATGCCCCGATCTCTCAAAAACTCGATTTTTATTTTCTGCACTCTTTGCTCCGTATCTTCGAAACGACTGGACCTGCCTTTGCCTAAAACTAATCAACACATGCTCCTATCAATAGGATTCGAATGTTTTTGAACCGGTTTATACGTGCGCCCGAAAACGTGGACGAAAAGTTATATCCATACATACATACACACATATCCATTTTTTCTGAGGTATGCCAAAATCTTCAGAAACTTTCAAAACGTCGAGAAATGTAAAAATTTTCAATTTCGATTTTTGGACGATTACAATAACTTACCCTACGCGAAGTTAAATATATTTTCTAAAAAAAAAAAAACGTGGTTCAGAACAACTTATAAAACTTTTGAAATCTGAGTGCTGTTCAAATAAATAATAAAATTTATTTAGAAAAATATTATGCACTTGTAGATGTGATTAGATCATTAGGTATTTCTTTATAACTTTATAGATTTGTGATTAGTCATTTTCGTTCGTTAGCTGAAGCGCCACTTTAAGATAAATATTTATTTATCATTGAAGAAGAATTTGTTGATATGCCATAGAAATATTTATATATTGATGATTTAATTTATTTATACAAGTACAAATTGATAAAAGTATTTTAAAAAAAATGATACAAATCAAAAAAATAAAAAATACTTGTCCTTTGACTACATAGTTGTATTCAGATGTCGAAGTACGCATGTAAAAGAAATGTCGTTTATCTTCAGTAAAGTACACTTCGCATTTCTTATGTTATAATAAATGGCAATATGTCTTTGGAATATGTGAAGCTAATGTTTGCAAAAGATTCCACAGTATATGTAAATTTTGTTATCATAGAACATTACACGCAGCATGATATGAATAACTTATGAAAAAATGTATCGCGTTATATGTAATGTACGGTAGCATGGACAAATGCTCGACTTATCGCAAAACTGTTAAATTATTTAATAGTGCTCACTTACAATGATGATTATATAATGATATAATTAAGTATCATTAAGATATCATCTTAAGTAAATATATTACATAATTAATTAAATATCAATAAACCGAGTTGATGAAAAATTATCGATACGACTAGAAAGATTACACTAGGTATAGGTGAAATAAATGTACATATTTATATATGGGTGTGTATGTGTGTTTTTATATATCTGTATGTGTTTGTATGTATGTATGTTCGTGTATACATAAAATTTACAAATTGTCCAATGTAGTGTAACAAGAGCCTGTTGAATTTTACATGAAGTGTTATTCGATTCTGCAAAAGTTTAATTCGCGATTTAAAATGCCAAACAAAACGTACTTGACCTTTAGATGATAATATGTAATAAATCAATAAACTATGTTCTATCATTGCAAATCTACAACCGTTGATCTCAATTGTATCATTCGTGCATTTAATATATCTTTTCACTGCCAATGTCCAAAGGTGCTAATAATATATGTAAACTTTGTGCTTTTTGCATCCGTGTTTGCTCATGTGATATAATATTTTTTTAGTAGAATATTTCCTCTAATTCTGGCAGCTATGCATAATTATTACGTTATTTAAAATAAATATTAGCGATGTTGGAAAATGTGCGATCGTTGTAAGTACAAATTGATGTGTAAAAAGACAGATGGTTCCAGTTCAATGTTTCTCAATGCGAGACTTAAATGGCCATCGAGAGTGAATAACTTTTTGGATCAAGAACAATTGTTACAATCGTTTTTTTAAATAATTCTCTCAGAAAATAAATGATTAGATCTTTGGCATTATTTCTTGCTACATTGAGTTTTCCATTGATCTGCTTATAGTTCCAATTCAAGGGCCAATATATATTGTAATGGAACATTCAAGGCATTGTAGTGATTTAAATAGTTCAAACAGAATATCATGGCGATATAAATTTATTAAATGAAACAAAGTACTTCTGAACATATGCTTTTATGCTGGTATATACCCGAAGTAATCTTTTCTCGCAGAATTACCGCAGTAACATTGACCTCGACCTCGTATAGAGTTCGTTCATATTTCTTCAACTATGCAGAATTA